GACAAGTGATGTCATTGTTGACAAATGTTTTAATGTCTTCTTTTTACATTTGATGGAGCTGACAGGTCGGTGATTCAGACTTTCTCACGGCTGTACCTTTGCTTGCATTGTGTTTTATTGATATGTATGTGTGTTAATATGCAGAGTTTGTCTTACAATCCTTCTTGCATGTCGTTTAGTTAGTCTTTTCTGAACAACAGTTATGTAACAGAGAGCTCGTCTAAAATAAAGTGTAACAAAGAGTGTGAGAGTGAGTGGGCGAAGGTGCAAAAATGAAACAGAATCTTCTTTTATTTTTTTTTATTTGTCTCCGGCTCCTCTCACAGCTATAAAAGTTTGTTAGTTTTATATCTCACTTTTTGTTTTTATTTGTTTTTAAATGCTGATTTGTTAAAGTGATGTCAAAATGTTTGATAATATTTTCCATGGAGCTCAACACTTAAATTGAAGATTTGCATATTTCTCTTTTTCTGAGTTTGTTTGAGAAGCAAAATCAGCTCCGGTTCTTTTCCTCCGCTGAGCTGTGCAGCAGATTTTTATCACCACATAAAATCTTTATAGCTCTCACCTGAAAGCTGTACTGTGTTGGTATATTTGTTTACAGTGTGTGTGTGCGTGTGTGTGTGTGTGTGTGTGTGTGTGTGTGTGTACCTCTGGGCTCCTCTTTCTGCAGGTTTGTGTCTCCATTAAACTCTCGTTCCTTCCCTCTGTCTTCTCACTCAGCTGTAAAGGAACATGAATAAAATAATAAAATAAAATGTAACTGTATCTGCTTCATTAAACTCAACATAAATAACTTGTGTAGCTCTGACTTCCTGCAGGAATGCTCTCACCTGATTATTTGACGGTTAAATTGGAAAGCATCAGATTTCTTTTGGTCCCGTTGAACTGCTTGCTGATCTTCATTAAGCATGTGGCGCCCTCTTGTGGACCAACTCCTGAAACACAGCTGACAAAAACAACGTCACTGAGGCCGTGTTCACACTTGGCTTCTTTTTTCAACTGCCAGAGCCTTTTTTACATACAAGCCTATGGAGAAAGGAAAAAGGATGACGCCTTTTTCAGTTGAGTTATTTCAACTTTTCAGAAAAGCTCTGGGTGACGTCAAGTGTCTTTCTGAAAGCTGACCAATCAGGACGAGTAGTAACCTACGTCCCTAGTTACCTGTGCCCAAAAACGTCAAACTTCCACCTGATCTGTGTGCTTTGTGTGTCCGCTCCGGTCCGTTCCGGGTCTGTGCCTCCTCATCCGTCAACACCCAGCGGCTGTGATCTCAGTCTGCAGCACGGAGAGCTCAGCCGGACAGAAGGAGCACGGAGACGAAGGAGTTTCTGCTGTAATTTAACAGATTCACTGGCGACAGCACGAGATAATACGATGTTCGTGGTATAAAACTCATTAAAAACTTTATAAACACATGAACAAACACACAAACGGAACCGGCAAAACGGAGGGTTTTATTCTGAAAATAAACCGGATGTTTTAATGTTGTATCGGTGTCTGACTTCCTGTCCCGTTTGTTCTTTTCTGTGATTTATTGTTGCGTTGTGCTCCGGCGCGGTTGCACCGCAGACTAGATCACATTAAGGTTACAGAACACTCACACATGAGCGTGAACACGGCCTAACCCTGTACCGGCTTCCTCTTCAGCTTAACTCACCTCTGAGATTTTATTTAACCTATCAAATCAAAATCAAGGTTTAATGGCATCTCATTCTCCAGTCCAAACTTTTGATGTGAACGCTCATTTCTGTCTGAAAGAAGGCAAATCAGTTACTAAAGACCTGGAGAGCTGGATAAACACTGAAGCTTCAGAGTCCACCACATGGTGACCTGAGTGAACATCCACTCTAGAGGGGGGGCAGCTCTCTATGATGTTTAGAATGTAGACTGCAGTACACATTTTAACCACAAGGGGTCAGTAACATATTTTCTGAAGCAGGACCTTAAAAGGTTCCTCTAAACCGGTTCTAGGAACTAAAATAGTTCATAGTTTCTGCGGTGGGGAGCCACTAAAAAAAGGGGGCAGGCTTCCAAAAGTTTCTGTGGTCTGAAAAAAGGCTGTTGTGTTCTCATCAAAATGTCTTCTTCTGAAACTTTTCCCTCATAAAAAAAACAAACCTGAATTTCTCAAAATGAATCAAACAAGTGAAATAATAAGCAGTCCAGACTCCTGGCTCAGTTTCATTACCAGAATATTTATTATTTTATTCTTTTTCCTATTAAAACACTAGCTGCCATATTTAATAAAACAGCCAACGGCCAAGTGCCTCAGTCCACATCCTCCAATCAAATCTCCTCCAAGGGGGTCACATGGGGGGGGGGGGGGGGGGGGGGCGTGTCCTTGGCTTCTGATGCTGGCCCTGTAGTCGCGGTACCAGTCCGTCGTTGGTGCTAGAAGGTGATTGGTTGTTGTCGGCGTGGTCCCCTGTTTGACGTCTCCATTGGTCTCCGTGGTAACGGGAAATCGAAGTATTGCATCGGTTAACTGGCGGACAGCAGCGGGACATCTCCTCGTTTCAGGACGTGTTTCTCTTTTTTGTTTTTCCTCATTTTTCTTAAAAATACTGCCGTGTATGAATGTATATATATTCAAATATATACACACATAACTGTTCATTGGTGCCTCCTGGAGGAAAACTAAAAATAAAGCAAATGAAATGAAATAATTTTTAATATTTTGACTTAAATTTGGATTTTTTTCTGGTTTATTTTTTTTGTTTTTACTTTAAAAAGGAAAGGGTTTTACAATTTGGGAGAAGCCATATATCACTTTCTTCCTGAGACATACGTGAGAAGACCGATACTAAACTCGTATGTTCATGAAATATGAAGCTACTGCTAGCAGCTGTTTAGCTTAGCCTAGCTTAGCATAATGACTGGAAACAGTTTGTCTGGCTCGGTAAAAAGGAAACAAATCCACCCAACAGCATCTCTACACAAAATGTACATGTTTGTACCTCGTTTGTTAAATGAAAATTTGTCTTCATGCTAAGCTAAGCTAAGCATCTCTTTGTAAGCTATTTTACCATCTATGTCTCTGAAAGAAAGTGAACAAGTGTGTTCCTCAAACTGTGAAACTTCTCCTTAAGGATCCAGAGGGAGGTCGCCCCAGCCGTCTGATTGGTTTGACTGTTGCTGGGTAGAAAATATACAGTCTCCTCATAACGTGGGAGTTCAACTCAAAGAAAGAATAAAATACCAAAAGTGGAGGAGCGGGACGCTCCACTGGCGGAGCAGGGGAGGGGAAATGTTGGAATAAAAACAGAGAAAACAATAAGAAAATAAGATGTAGGAATCTGTGAGATGTCAGGAAAAAAGGAAGTGCTAACGTTTTAATGCAACTTCTAAAATATAATCCTGCTTTCCCTTTTTCTTTCCTTCCACACTTTTAATTTAGTTCATGGAGAGCAAGTCTGATCATTCTAGGTTAGCATTTTATGCCTAGTCAAATCTTTCTGTTCTGCAGCAGTTCATTTTTAAATGTAGACATCAATCATGATTGTAGAATATTACTGTATTTTTTAAAAGGTAGAGTCAGCAGCTTTCTCCTTCAAAATAAAATACATCTCCTAAAGTGAAGCTGCTCCATTGTCCCTTCTGGGCCTCCGTACATGTGTGGTGGTGACTGTGTCTGCAGAGACTCTGTCCTCTCACTGGATTTTACTGTTCTGATTTGTGACGGTTGACTCGAGACGTTTGTGGGCGGAGCTGGTGTGTTTCCTCCAGCCAATGAGAGCGCAGCAGGTGAGTTTAGGAGTGGATACAGTTCAGTGATTGGACGAGATTCAAACAGACGCAGACGTAGCAGCAAAGAAGAGAAAATATAATGAGAGTGAGGAGAAACACCAAGTGGATAAAGATCGTTCTAAAACGAGGGTGAACCTTGTGTTGGACGTGGAGTTGATCTACTTCCTGTTGGACAGGAAGGGGACAAACACGGGCGGTTAGCTTGTGCTAGCTTGCAGTGTAGCTACAAGCAGTGAACGTACACACTACGTCCTGCAGTGAGTGAGAGCTTCTGGGGGAGATGAACCCAGAAGGAGGGGCCATGTTTGAATGTTCTGTTTACAAACTGCAGTGAAAAATGCTGCTGACTCCATCTTTAATTATTTTAACATTTTAGAGCTGAACTGAGGGAAAAACTTCCCTAAAAGCTCTATTTCTTCTGTAATATGTTGAATTTTTGGCATTTCTCCTTTTTAAATCAAAGTAAACCAAATTAAAAATGGAGTATTGCCTCTTACTGCCTGTTGACAATGAGAGCCGATTTAAAGATGACGGACTAATCCAAGTTTGGATCAGAATTTACCGAGCTTTAAGAAGCTGCTCTTTCTGGCTGTTAAAATTCAAAAAGTGGATAAAAAAAGGAGCTTACGTCTCAGGTGTGGCCACATAACATCCAACAAAGCGAGAAAGGATATTTTTCTTCTTTTATTATGAAATAGTGCTACAATGTACATTGCATGTCCTCTCCTGACTCTCGGCTGTCTGCTGATGTGTGTTCTGACGCTGGGAAAAGAAACCTGGTAAAATAAAGAGAAGAAGAATACTTCCTGCCAGAGGTGGGAGGTGAGACACAGAGTGTGAAATAATTATCCATCCGGACTGGTGATTTAATTCTGAGTTAAAATCGGGGTCTTCTTTAAAAGCTTCTCTAGACAAAAATAGTCAAATTCTTCAGAGCGAATAGAAAGAGGAATCACTCGATCAGATGGACAGTTATTTACAGAGTGTGTGTCGCTGCGTGTGTGAACGTGTGTGTGCTGCACAGAACTGAACCAAACTCATGGAGGGAGGAGGAGGAGGAGGAGGAGGAGGAGGAGGAGGGTAAAATAAAAAAAGAATGAGGTAAAGAACAAACAGAAATCTGAAAAGTTAAAATCATAAAGTCTATCCAGTAAAGAGGAGGAGGCGGGACATCCTCTCCCATCCCGAGTCCTGATTGGCCAGATTCACTTTAGAATGTGTGGAGATGGGGGGAAAAACCTAGAGGGTGG